ATGCAGGATAAACATCCAATCACGTTTTTCTTAATGAGCTAAATAAGTGGAGAAATGCTTGTTATGGGAAAACTGGGTAGTAAATAGTAAATAAATATGCCTGAGCTTCTCTGCTAAGGGAAAAAAAAATTAAAATTAAACCAAAGTAAGTTTTGGTTTATTCCACCATTGCTCCCTTCTACCTGAAAGTCTTTGAACTGACATTCAGAGTTGGGTACAGCCTTCTTCACCTGGTTTAGTCCTCCTGGTCTCAGCTTAAATAGTGCTGACCAGACTTCTCCCCCCACCCCCCCGGGCTGGGTTGGGTACCCTGGTTCATGCATGTTGCTTCCTAGTAACTATCCACTTACAACTAGTTTTTTATATTTAGTATGTAGTTGTTTATTACTATTGTTATTGTTTTCGCTTAGTCTTTTAAGTGCTTAGAAATGAGAACTTGCTGATTACTACTAAAATACCTAGCACATTACTTGGCCTATATATGAAGTGCTTCGTGTTTGTTGATAGTCGTAAGATCACTTGAGAGGATGGTATATGACAGACATTTAATTAGGCTAAAGGACCACGAGCAATAGAAAGAGATGAGGGGAGGGTATAGCTTAGTGTGCACTTAGCATGCACAAGGTCCTGGGTTCAATCCCCAGTACCTCCATCAGCAAATAAATAACCTAATTACTACCTTCACAGTAAATAAATAAAAATAATAATTTAAAACATTAAAAAAAAGAAGAGACAGTGACTTAGAATTCTGCTAGTGTGTTCCAGTTTATTTACCTTCATGTGTCAATTAGGACAATCCGATTTTAATGAACCTAAAAAAATATGGTCCTCAAAAACAAGTATACAGACCATAAGAATATGAAGAACTAGTAATATAATGACCAGGAGGACGTTTACAGTTGTCTTATTTCTGTATAATCAGGATGACTAGAATGCCTTCCTGAAGCAAATGATCACCTTTCTGCAAGGCTGCTATATTTATCATTTTCTGAACAGGGATGATTTATACTCTTTCTCCTGATTTTTCTTAAAATACCAACCCCTGCCTTCTGTGAGGACTGAATAAGTCCACTTACATAAAGAATTAGCACACTGCCTGACACACAGTATGTGCTCAGTAAAGGCAGTCACGTTCTTTTCTGTACAGCCTCATGTAGGCATTTAAATCAAGATCTTCACCTTTTGGTTTCCTGAATTATGGTCTACCCCATCTGAGGTACTAGAGATCAGGTTCTAGAAATAATCTTACCTACGTTGTGCACTGTCATTTCCTCTCTGTCCCTTTTTCTGTCTCACCTAGAGTAGTACACAAGCCTCGTAACTGTTGTCCCTGCCTCCAGTCTTACTCCCATAAATCTCTTTTCATCTGGCTACTGTCTTCCTGACCTAAACCTTCCACTGGCTCCCCATTGCTGTAGGATGAAGCCCGCATTCCTTATTGTGGCATTTAAGGGAGGTCCTTAATGCATGGTCCTACATACCTCTCCAGCATCAACACCCATCACTCCTTTCTTGAGACTCATGCACTAGAATAATTTGTATCCCCCATGGCCCTGTGTATTTCATGCCGTGAACATTTTTTCATGCTCCTTTATTTACTTTCCCTCCCTCACATTTATTTCATCCGCTAGTTAGTCCTTTTAAATCCATTATGACTGGACTGAGCAGTCAACAGCAGGAAATCTTCCTTGAACCACAAATCAAGTTCTTTGTCGCTTTGTGTATTTATTTAAATTAGCATTTATTATATTGAAATGTTGGCTTCATGAGCCAAATGACCTATCTTGTTCATTACTATGTCCCCAGAGCCTCAATGCTATAATGGTACCTAGCATGTAATGGGCACTTGATAAATACTTGATTTTTGTAATCACTTTGCAACATACACATATCAAATCATTATATTGTATACCTTAAACTAATAGTCTATGCCAATTGGATCTTAGTAAAACTAGAAAAAATATTTAATGAATTAACGACTTATTTACATTTTTACCTTTCCTGTAGACTCTAAGGGTGTGGTATACAATGGAATACTACTCAGCTATAAAAAAGAATAACGCCATTTGCAGCAACATAGGTGGACCTCCCTAGCTTCTTTATCTGCTTATTTTTTTTTCTTAGCACCTCATACCATCTAACATACTGTTTACTTATGTATCTTGTTTGTTTTTCTTCTGCTACCAGAATGTAATTTCACTGAGAAGAGGGAATTTTGTCTTTTTAATTCACTCCTCTATCCCCAGTGCCTGGAACCGTGTTGAGCACACAGTAGGTACTCCTAAATCTTTGTTGAATGAATTAATAAAATGATTTGTGAATTACAAAGGAAGATTGAATTGTGTTCTGAATACTTGCAATGCAGAATACCAGAATACATTTTATAGTATTCAAGTTTTTGGAAATCAACAATCTAAATGTGCTATATATGTTAGTCTAAATGCTTCCAAGCCTCATAGCGGGCCCGGTGGAGTTCTAATCAGTATCATTGGCTTCATCTCCTCCTTCCTCTTTTGTCTTTGTCTTAATCCTTCATTTGGAAATTTTCAAATATATACAAAAAAACAGGAATAGTCTAATGAACCCCATGTACTTCTTAGTGAGCATCAGTAATTACCAGTGTTTAGTCAATCTTGTTTGATCTGTTTCTTCCACCTTTTTGTGCCCTGATTATTTTAAAGAAAATTCAAGACTGCTTTTTCACCTCCATTTCTAAACATTAGATACATTAAAAAAGAAATACGACTACTGCGTCATTATTACATGTAACAGAATTACCAGTTCCTATCATCTAATACCCATTCCAAGGTCACATTTCCTCAATTGACTCACAATATTTTTATTCAAATTAAGATCCAAACAAGATTCGCAGATTGCACTTTGGCAGTTGTTTGTCTTTAGTCTCATTTATTTCGTGACAGTTTCCCCTCCTTTTTATTAATGACTTTGACTTGTTGGTTAAACATTGTGTCATTTGCCCCGTAGAATTTCCCATGTTCTGGATTTGGCTGACTGCTTACCTGAGATTAAAGTAGCTTGTTCTCTGGTCCTCAACTTTCCTGTAAATGTTAGTTAGATCTGGAAGCATGATTAGCCTTTGAGTCAGTTTTCAGACAAGAATATTCCATAGGTGGCGATGTGTAATTTTTATTGCATTCACATTATGAGACTGAAAAACAGTAAGTGACTGTCTCAATTTTAATGATGCTAAAATTGATCAGCAGGTTATTTGCCTGATTTCTTATGTACACATTTCCTCATTGACCTCTCATCTAATGCTTTTAGCATCCAATTATGATCTTTTCATATGTCTATTATTTCACTAGGATTTACAAAAATGGTGATTTTTCTGAATCTATTTTTTCTTCCTCATTTACTGGCTTCCATTTTTTTATGAGTAACAAGTTTATTAGGTTACACCAAAATGCAGTTTGTACTGGAAAAGCCAAATAAATGCTTCCTTTTTTTCCTTTATCGATTTTCAGTTTTATGAGTTGGTTCCCTAGCAAGTCCCAAAGTAATCAATGAGTTTCTTTTATTTTTATAATAGCATTCTGAACTCTTAGATATTAATGTATTGATGTTTCCACTCATCATTCCTTCTGATCCACGACTTTTCCCATTTTAGACCAGGGGGAGCCCCTAGAGTGGCTTCTGTGTCCTTTTGATGTGATCTCATTGTTCCTCGATAACTTCCATGTCTCTGGCATAAAATATTCTAGGCTCATCTTGTACATTTCCTGCCCCAAACCTGGAACCAGCTATGTTCCCTCCCTCCCTTTTACAAAGGAAACTACCCGACGCCTCCCACCTTCAACATGGTAGATCTCAGAATGGTGCTGTTTCCATGACACACCAACTCTTCAGTCAGAAGTTCTAAAGATACCTAATAAGGAACCATTTCTCTTCCGAGCCCATGGCTGAAAAGTTGTTAATAAGAGCACTGAAGGGTGGTAAAAGCACTAAAATTGTCACCTTAAATGGAAAGAAGATGACAAAGATGCCCTCAGTGTTAGGAAACCTGCCTGGGCTGAAGACACTGCGCCTTCAGAATAACATGATCCCCAGCATGTGCCCAGAGATAAGCGCCTTGACCCAGGTGAGGGGCAGCGTATCTTTTTTGATTGAGGATGGGAAATAGAAAAGAGGTGAGAAAACAGTGAGGCTTCAACCCCTGCAGGCTGAGCTCCCTGGAGACTCACTGCGGATGGTGGCTGGAGGGATATCACAGTGCTTTCTCCTTTATTGAATTTCACATGTGAGGGGAGACTCCCGTGCTCATGGCCCACGTCTGGAGTGAGGGGTAGGTCTCTGCCACACTCATCTCTCTGGAGGCCATCATCTGGAAAGGGGTAGGGAGCTTGGATCTGCTTGCTTACCTTGGGGGCTCCATCTGGGTTTGAAGTGGGTTTGAGGGTCCCGGAGATGCTGTTCCCCCTGGGGACCATCCTGAAGCTTCTGCATATGGAACAAAGGGACGTTTCAGATGAAGAAGACGGGTCCTTTTCAATTTCCTAGAGCTGAACTTTGAAAGGGAGTGTTAGCAAGGAAATGGGAAGGAGAGGGCATTCATTTCTTCTGAAGTAGTCTTTAAAAGAAGGTTAGTATTTTAAATAAAGAATATCCTTCTTAAAAAGCAACAGTTGACATGAATGAATCCCAGATGCTTGTGTTAAACATTTCTGCTGAATAATGTGAAACCCCAGCTGCTAGAATCTTGAGGTTGGGAGCAGGCAAGCGATATTAACTTTGCAGTTTTCTTTTTATTTGCTCCTAAACTGCCACCAGCACTGAAAAAGAAAGAACCTCTGACCAGCCAAGTCATGGTAGCTCATTAAAGTTCATTAGTTCTGAGTTCAGACTTACCAAAAAAAAAAAAAACCCAAAACCCTCTATTTCCTACGTAACTTCACCTACCTCATTCCCTTTCAGGTTTACAAAATTATTTGAGTTTGCAATCTGTGAGCATGTATCTCTAAGAAACAGAGTAATACTCAAAACTCCCCCTTTAATAGTCACTTAAAAGTGCATGTTTAAGTATAGGACAACAAAGATCTGGACTTTTCTAACAGGACTAAGGAGTTTTTATGCAAAAGAATTTGGGATTTCACTGAGCCAAGAGCTGATTCTCCCCCTCCGCTTGAACTTTGTTTCCATGAAAGTAACAGTGCATTGGTTTAAGAAAATCAAATACTATAAAAGGTTTATAATAAAAAGCAACTCTTCTGTTCCACTTCCCCCACCTGCAATTCTGATCTCCATATATAACCGCCTTTAATTCTGTTTTAGTGATTTGTCCATTTTAGATACCCCTCTTCTTCATCTTCCAAATATAATTATATTAAATATGTTCAGTTTCTCCATAGTTATCTTTTAAATTTATTATTATTACACCACGGTTTCTTCTTCATCAGCTATAGTGTCTTTTTACTCCCCACTTGGTAAGATGGGAACGTTAGCATCTGTGGTTTACCTTCGGCTCTGTTCTCTCTCCCCCTTCCCAAATTATAAACTTCTTTTATGAGATGTATAGCATTTACATTGTGTTCAGTCACAGCCATGATTAAATCTTTGCCTCTTGGAGGATTCTAAACTTCTAAAATGTATACTGTCAATAAGTAAATATCCCACACTGATGAGCGATGTTGAGGGTAGGGGAGTATATATGTGTGGGTGGGGAGGGCTGTATTTTTTGCTCAGTTCTGCTGTGAACCTGAAACTGCTCTAAAAAAACAAAGTCCATTAATAAAAAAAAAGTAAACATCATTTACATGGAGCCAATTAATGTATTATGATTATACTTTCTTCCTCAGATAACATTTTTGTTCCCTTGGACTTTCTAATTGTCTTTCATTTATTCTTGTGCCTTTTGCCTTTATCATGGCCTGATTTTATTTTAATATTGATCATATTATGTATTTATCTAATGTGGTTTTGACTTGAGTGACTTGCCTTCAAGAGCCTCCATCCTCCCGCCCCAGTTTAAGCTGATCACTAGCTGTGCTGGGTACTGTCAGCCCGGCCGTCCCTTTGCGGCTCTCCTGAATTGGACCCATTGTTTCCTGCAACCATATTTTTCCTCTTTTTTCGACTTACTCACTAATTTTGTAGGAGTAAGTCTCCAGAGATCCCTCTAGTCTAGGTATGTGGTAATTAAGTTTTTTGAACTCTTGCATATCTGAAAACGTGTTTTCTTCTCTCCTGTTTGATTAATAGTTGTTCAGGTAAAAAAAATTACAGACTGTAAAATCTATTTCCTCAGGAAAAAAAAAGCCCAAGAGTCTGATCATCATCACTTTTTCTTCTTGTGGTTCCCCAATTACTCTCCTCCTCATCCTTCTGCTATTCACTTAGGAGAGACTCTGAATTTTGACATTTTGTTTGTTTACTGTCAATTTCCTGAAATAGGGAGTTGGCTCAGTTCAGCACTTACTTTTAAAGAAGAAATAACATTTCACTTTTAAAGAAGAATTCAATTGATTACAAGCTAGGGTTCTTGTGGTCTGTCTTTAAAGTGCTTTACAAGTCAGATTCAGGCTAATGGCATTATTGTTTGGCTGCTATGAACTAGCAGTTTTTTTCATATGGAGTCTCCAATTTTCAAAAAAAAATCGATTTCCCCTTTATAAGGGGAGTTCTAGAAGCGGCTGGAATTAAATGTACTAGAAACCCTCAACAATGGATAGAGAACATTTACACAGTCCAGAAATACTGCTCATTCTCACTGCTGCTAACAGAAACGGCAGATAACGCTTTCAGAAAAGAGAGAGAGTTTAGCTGCCTAGAGCCCTGGGTGGGTGACTGGAGTCCTGGATGCACCCTTTACAGCTGGTTCAGCCACTTACCAACTGCATATGAGGCGTTTACTCTCACTGGGCTTCCGTCTCTGCCTTCATGTAGTCAAAGCCACACCTGAGTATCGAGGACCATCGTGTCTCAGGTGCTTTGGCAACTGAAAAAAAAAGATGGAAATCCTTGCCTTCATGGAGCTTATGTCCTAGTCAGAAGAGACGCAGGAAGCAGACAAGGGTGACGAGCAGGGTGTGAGGCAGTGGTGAGCACTGAGAGGCAGAAGCAGAGGAGGCCCGCCGAGCCAGCTGAAACCTCGCTAAGTGTCCTTCCTTGTGGGCTTCACAACTTGGCGATGCTCCCGTCATAGTTCAAAGATCATACTAACTCTCTTCTAACGATTTTCTATAAAATCCCTGAGTGTGTTTGTTCGAAAGCTAGTTTGAATTCTTCCTTGTGTTGCTTCAGGCTGTACTTTTATTAACAATAACTGAAGCTATTTCCCTATCACAAGTTGTTTTTGGTCCATGCTGTGCTTGCCGTTTGGACTGGCCTTTCTTTTACCATCCCAGGAAGCCCAGGCTGCCCTGATAGACTGATTTTTATGGTCGTATTTTCCACAGAATGCACAGTCTTAAAATAGTCTTGTTACTTTTTTTAAGTTTCAAAAACAAAATTAATACCACAAAATGTATCAAATAGGCAGCAATGTCCACCATTTATTGAGAGCCAGGCAACTGCTAGGAACTCTGTGTTCATTTTCAAGGAAGTCATTATTCTCAAATGGTTAATAAAATTTATGGTTCGGGAAGAAGTTAAGTTGCTCGTCCAGATCACTCAACCAGTGAATACATGTATGAAATGAGGTCTCTTTTGAGGTGGCTTTCAGCCCTGTTGCCTTATCATTCTATAGACTTAGTGTGAAACTGACAGGGGTGTGGTGTTCAATTTATAGTTTCTAAAAACAAAAACTGGGTTGCCTAAATATGGCAGGTGTGAACACTACATGGATTGTTCCTGCTCTCCATTGGTTTACGTAAATCTATTCTTTTGACAAATATTTACCATTCATCTTCTTGTGTGTATGCTGGTCCTGAGGATACAAGTATGAAAAAAACAAGGTCTTTATCTTCATGTTGGGAGTTAAATTAAATGTTGTATGTAAAGCTCAATGCCTGGCATGGGAAATTTTCAATAAATCGTGGTTACTATTATGACTGTCTTTACCATTATGGTGTAACTAGCAACGAGGATAAAATGGGAGGAGATTCTCTAGAGTATACAGATCCTATCTCTTTTTATTTCCTTTGCTAATTTGACTAATGAAACCAGAAATTTCCAATCCCTTCTAATGACATAAAAAAATGGGTTAATGGCTTATAATTTATGGTGAATGCATTTAGCCTGGGACTAATGAAGTTCTGGGATACCAACAGTTTTCAAAGAAGCACTTGATTATAACTCATGAGGGTGGAGCCCTTGTCTTGTCCTTAGTGCCTGGCACTTAGTAAACCATCGAATGTCAACTTGAGTGGAAGGGGATGTAAGCCATTTTCAAAGTCCAACTTAGTCAAACACAGTGCTGTCATGATTATGGCAGCATCTAAGAACAAATGTCCCCCATAGGTAAATCAGCCAGTTCTAAAATCCCCAAAGAAACGAATCGCCATTATCTCTGATTGTGCACAGCATCGTTGACATGCATCACAGGGTCCAATGGCAGTACAGCATCGTTGCCCTTAAGTGGCTCTCATGTGGCTGCCCAGGACAGAGATACGATCTGCCATAGCTTTTTATTTGACCACAAACAGTTGACAGTAAATAGGGCACCTCTAAGCAGAGCTGGGTAGTTTGTGAGTTGTACTGTGTCCCTAGTCTCTCCTTTTCTTACTTGTACTGTCCTTAATGACCCCTAACTCAGGCACCTCTCGCCCTCCCTCCTTCCCTCCCTCCCTTCCTTGCTTCTTTCCTAAGTTCACCAGTTACTGTGCCTGCAGTGGGCTAGGCCCTCTGCTGCATGCGGACAGTACAGAAAGGAGCAAAGACATCCACGTGTCCCAATGTCAGGTTTGGTGGGAAAAGGTAATCGATATACAGATGGATGTACAATCATCATTGTGAAAAGTGCGATGAAGAAGAATTATATTGTGTTACGAGGAACTGTGGTCAGGGAAGTCAGGGAAGGCAGTCCTGAGAAGCACGGGTGAGGTGAGATCTGAGGATAGGAGTTATGCAGAGGAACACAAGAGGAGAGTCCACCGCAACGGCTTTCCTGCTCTCTCCCCTCTCCGGGCATCCTGGATCTCGCGC